GCTTAAACCACTTGGCTAACAACCCAGACTGGTTTATATTAATTATTTATTATTTTTAATGCTGGGCAAAAATGAATCATGATTAATCGCATTTTCAACACATTTCTAAACATAATAGTTTTAATAACATAATATTTTACAACATATTTTCAAGACACTGCTCATATTTTTCAGTAATCAGCTTAAAGTTTAAGCTTAACTAGGCTGATTAGATCAACTAAGCAAGTTTTGTTAATTGGGCAAGTAGTTGCATAACAATGAATTGTTCTGTAGACAATTAAATATATATATATATATATATATATATATATATATATATATATATATAACCTAAGGGGGCTTTAAAATTTTGACTTTAAAATTGATTTTTTTTAACTGATTTTATTGTAGCCGAAATAAAACAAGTTTGCATGTTCTCCTGTGTTCGCGTGGGTTTTCTCCGGGAGTCAGATTTTCCCCCATGCACTATACAGTACTATACTATACAGTGAATCGAATAGGCTAATTTGGCCGTAGTGTATGTGGGATTGCAGGAGTGTATGCGTGTGAATGAGTGTATGGATGTTTCCCAGTGTTGGGTTGCAGCTGGAAGGGCATTCCCTGTGTAAAACAAGTGCTGGATAAGTTGGCGGTTCATTCCACTGTGGCCTCCCCTGATTGATCAAGGGACTAATCCTAGAAGAAAATGAATGATTGATGGGTGATTCGCCGCCATGTTCGTTAGGTTAGCAGTGGAGAGATCAAAGCTGCTGGATTAAACTGTCTAAAAACCCTAGCAATGTATGTCTGATTTATATAAAGTCATTGTCTTATTGTGTTAAAAAGTAGTTATTATGATCATCTTCATACACAACAGTGTGTATTTTACAAACCAAATAAACATTGTAATTTATGAAGAGCGCCACACATTTCTTTCTCTGGCTCATCTACAAGTATTGCAGTAATGAAGATTTGAATTAAGAAGTTGATCATGTGACACATTAAACAGTCTATTCGTGTTAATGTGGTCATACTGGTCAAAGGCTTAAGTAGTATTGATTTTATGCCAGAATCAACAGAAGTATCCAGTAGATTTCTACTACGAATCACAATTTTTACCAACCCAGGCTCACCTCTATATACATTTTTGGAGAGCAAGAGGTACGTTTTTTTGCACTTTTCGTATTTGAGAATCCGACAGAGTCCGCTGTGTACACTTTTTTTAGACCTCAATTTTCTCTCGCGAGTGCCATTTGCCCCTGCTGTTCTCATGCAAATCCACTAGAGGCCGCTGTTGACTGACTGACTGACCAACTGACCGATCCCCCCACCCTCCCCTTTTCCTAAACTCAACCAATAGTATTTTGTAAAGCACCGATTGACCCACCTGCCCCCTTCCTTAAATCCAACCGCAGTGTTTTGAAAAGCAATCCAGAAAAAGAAAAGCCCTCGCCTGATTTTTACCACATTTTCAGATTTTACCACATTATTACCCTGTTATTTACTTGTTTATTTTATTGTTTGGCTTCTGTTTTTGTCTGCTTTCTGGAACTGTTCTTCATCAGACTCAAACCTCATTGTCACGGAAATCTTACTCTGCATCTCAAGTCCGCCGACATACCCATCAAGCTACTAAACAAACTGGTAACAGCGGAAAAGCAGTCCATAAGGGCGTAAGCGGGATAAGGAACAATATCATATCGCCCCGCAGCATTTGTTTTAAAGATGAAATGCAGCCATACGTAGTTAGGCTCAGAGATATTGGAATGATCTTTATACACCCACCATCCACTTTAACATCACCTGTTAAGAGACCCCTCCTAAACTGAAATTTTTTGGAGCTTCAAAATGGTAAACAAACTCCCTGCTAAAATGTAACAAATACTTCTATTTCGGGGGTTGGTTTGTCACTTTTGGTGTGAACATGCTGTGTATGCTTGATTGCTGCTTCAGATTGCGGATGTTCGTATGGTTTGTCTCATCATTGCTTTTAAAAATTTATGCTTCTCTCATAAATTAGTTTGGGTTCCTTCCCAATATCACCTTTGACTTGTTTTGTCGGGATTGGCAGAGCTGCACGACAATTGAATCCTTTAACAATGACATTCCTATCGAACTGAACAGTATCAGCATTGAACTGATTTGCATCCTGAGAAACTGCCTGATGCATTGAGCTTGTTTTACACTGATGCACCTGATTTTCTGTTGTATAATTCAGTATAGCAATAAAAGTGAATTAATTTGACTGTGGGGTCAGACATGCGTCATGTTTTTTCCTGGAAATAATGTTTCTAAATGAGCTGTTGACATGGTATTGAACCAGATTTTGGCAAAAACCCAAACAATACAAACATAAAAATAAAACAAAACAATCTGAAAAATGAGTTATATATGTGTAATAACAATGGAATGACACAAGGAGAAAGTACTGAACTACGGAAATATATTTAATACTTTATATAAAAGGCTTTTCTTTGGTGATGGAAGCTTAAATATGCCTCTCATATGGAGAAAGTCACATAAATTGCTCAGGTGTGATTTTTTTCCACAGATTTCAAGAGTGTAAAAACCTTGATGGTTCTGTGGGTCACATCTATCAAATCTGATTTTGATTTTTGATTTTCTATTGGATCCAAGTCAGGTGATTGGCTAGGCCATTCTACACTTGATTTTCTTTCTCTGAAACCGTTTGAGAGTTTCTTTGGCTGTGCTTTGGATCAGTGTCTTGCTGAAATGTCTTCCCTGTTTTCATCTTCACCATTCTGGTATGCAGATGTTGGACTGAAACAGCTAATATTAATTTACAATGACGAAGGGGAGAGGGTTGCTGAATAACTACTGAAAGATTTGAGCTGGTGTCTGGACTTTCACTGCCTTTTTACATCTCCCTTTCTTTATGTGTTTAATACATTTTCACTTTGTCATTTCATTATATTACACATAACTTAATTTGTATAACAATTTTGCTTTATTTTATTTGCATATATGTATTTCTTCGGTTGTAAAGTCAACAGCACCTATAGAAATATGTTTTTTTTTCTTTATTATCTATACTTATTCCCTACCTGTATATTTTCAGATTTAATTATTGTCAGTGGCTATTGATGTGGATGCTGTACTGTTAATTGTAATTGTTTAATATTTATTACATATTGAATATTTATCATTGACAGCATTTTGAGTTTGGGAAAATGGTTAAATAAAATAGTAGTATTAGTAGTGTCAGGGTTCTGCCACTCCAGTCCACTGCTTGGCACTTGCACTCTTGTACTCATATTTCTGTTGGTTCTGTTGGAATTTGGCTGTTTCATTCTCAGCGTCTCAGTCTAGTTGATTCGGTTTGCGCTAAGATGACACATGCGCGTTGCATATGAGTGAGCACACGGGAATGTTTTTTTATTTATCGTGTGCTCGTGTCTTGCATCTAATAATGTTGGTGTTGTCTAAGCATGTGGCTGGGTGTTTACATTGTGGTTGCGTGCTTTTGTGGTGTGCTTCAGTGTTGTGCTTTTACGCCCCATTCACACGGGCCGTCAGCTTCTATGCCTTCCATTCACTTTGAATGGGTGACGTTAGGCGTTGCCGAACTGCATTGTGGATCAGTCAGCGCCACGTCAGAGGCGTTACTCGCTGCAAATGTTGGGACTTGCTTAACTTTTCAAGCGCCGACGGAAGCGTCAGCCAATCAGATTGCTGTATGCAAATACACCAGCTCAGACAGTGGCCTATTGCTGACTAATTTCATTGGCTGATGCTGCTATGGCGATCGCATCAGCCCCAACTTCAGACACGCCCTCTGTCGGTGCCGTGTGAATTGGGCGTTAGTGCTGTCTTAGGAACACGCAGTTAATGAGTTCTCTCATTGGCTCCGTGTTCTTGTCCTTATTTACGTGAGCACATGGTTTCTGCTGTTTTCTCGTGTCAAGTGCTCTCCCGTCTATTTCATTATAAATAAAATAACATAGCTTCTTTTTCCCCAATCCCCGACTGTAACAAGTAGTAGTAGTAGTAGTAGTAGTGGTGGTGGTGGTGGTGGTGGTGCTACAGCAACGTCATTAAGTCCTATGGTTAAATACAACAGAATAAGTTATAAATTCCATAAGAACTTAAAGGTATTAAACTTTTACACGTATATATTTTCTTTTACTTCATTTAGATACTTCAAAAATATTGAACTATTTTGAGTTCTCCAGGCAACGGCAAATCTCTTTGAAAATGTTCGCTCTTTCATTCCTTCGTTACTTACTTCGCTATTCTTTGAAGCCTCTTTAAACGTTGTCATTGGCTTTCTGAAAAATTCTTTGTGAAAGTGACGCTCTGATCGGAGAGCTGCGCGGACGCCTCCTGCTGTTGCCATGGCGACATCTGATACGACTCAAACCCTGCGCTCTTTTCTCCTTTCTTTTTTTTATTCTATTTCCATTTCTAGCTCCACTAATCAAGGACTGCCAGTAAGCCCAGAACAAACAGATGTTACCGATTAATTTTCCCATCACTTGAATTAGAAAGTAAATTAAAACAAAAAGATTTTCTGCTGGAGTTCAATAAACAACTCATGCCTGTTTCATTTTTTTTACCTCCTGTCAAGAACAAATGTTACATTGCTAACAAGGCAGATGCATGGCTGCCTAATGGGAGGGTTGTTGGTTTTCCAGCTCTTTTTTTAAAGCCACCAGAATGTGGCTCATTATGGCTGGTGTTATAAGTGTGTGCATATGTGTGTGTGTGTGTGTGTGTGTGTGTGTGTGTGTGTGTGTGTGTGCGTGTGCTGTTTCGCAAGCTGGAAAGGGTTGCATTATTGTTAGCAGTGCCCAGTGTTGGTGCTTTCATATGCTTATGACCTTTCGGGGATTTATGCCAAGGTTTCAGTTTGTGTGATGTTGTACAAAAGACTTTGCTCTGCTGATACTTTGCAATGCAGTGCACGCTTCCCACACAAACATACCACCCAAACCCTGCCATGAGTGCATGTGCAGCCTATGGCATTCTCCATGTTGATTTGATGTGTTCTGTAAATATACCTTGTCCAGGCCAAAGGTCTTGGTGAGGGCGAACCCCCAGCCCTGCTCGAAGGCCCTGCGGATCATGGCTGCGCTGGTCGTGGGAGGAGCGCTGGCCAGTCCAAAGGGGTTAGGAAACTTGATCCCGCACATCTCCACGCTGATGTCCACTGTGTCAATGGCGCAGTGGAACAAGGGCAGTCTGGGAGTGGCACTTATTGTGTTACCATGAAGAGACTGCAGAGAAAAAATTACATATAAACAATCACTATAAGAACATCATATCTGCTAAATGAGCAAGGTTTCAAATAATCAATTTACATTCACATTGACTTTTAAGATTACAGATGCATAGGTTTACTCTATGTTGTTAATAATAATAAAAAAATAATAAAACACACACACACACACACACACACACACACACACACACACACACACACACACACACACACATATATATATATATATATATATATATATATATATATATATAATTTAATTGTATGCTTTTTTGAATACTACTTATTTTTAGATCTTTTTAATATAATATAATTAATATTATAATAATGTTATGGTAAATAATATATATTGAATATTATGATAAAGCACTTTCTGACATCTTAAATGTGAATTATGCTCTCTCTCTCTCTCTCTTTATAAACAATACATTCGTTTTTTGTTTTTTTTTAAATCATGCTCAAGAAAATTACATGGATAACCTTTAGGGCCATTTAAATGTTACACAATTTTGTTAATAAACATAGTGTTGTTTAATTGGTATGGTTTTTGAGATTTGCTTTGGTACCAAAATTGGTATTGGTACAAGCCTAATCCTAACAAACATCCATTATATTTATATATACATACAAAATATTAAAATAAAACTGTATAATATGGTTCCATTAGCTAATGTTAATTAATGTATTTTTTTAACATGAACAAACAATAAACAATACATTTATTTAAGGATTTAAGGTTATATATATATATATATATATATATATTCAATATAAATACAATTTCAGCAGATGACTTGAATAGATGGTCAAGAATTTATAATTTTTGATCAATTGGGATGATTCTATAGGGGAGTGATCTGCATAAAATATAATAAAAAAGACAAGTTAAATAGAATAAAATAAAGATGCAAAAAAAAAAAAACAATTATTAAAGGTTTTCTGGGAAGTCAAACAGTATTTATAAGCAAAAATTGAACAATCATATAATAATAATAATAATAATAATAACGCTGTACCGTTTTGAGTAAATAATTATATAATGTACAATTAACCTTTAAGCTGTAAAGGTTTCATTTATTACACATGCAAATAATAAACTTTCACTCTAAGGTTTAAATATGAAATTACTCCACTATGTTGTTAATTGTAACTACATTGCAGATCTCTGCAATGTGACTGTTGTGAACTCGCATTGCAGTATCGATGATGAAACAATATACTGTGCAGCCATAAATGGATTCATTTATTCATGTTAGATACTGAAAATAATGTTGATCATTGTTGCATCCCTCACAGTGCATTAAAAAACGTTAACAAGCACAACTTGATACTGTATTAGTAAATGTTAAACCATAATTAATAAATGCTGTACTAGTGTTCATTCTTTATTTATGTAAGTAAATACATGAACTAATAATAGCTAATGGACGCTTATTGTACAGTTTGACCTATAATAAAATATACAATAACTACAAATATTATCATATTATCGATAACTAAAATATAGTATAATATAAATAATATTAAAGTGCTTTCTATTTTAAAATTTGTCACAACCTCCAAACAGTCGTAATAAAATCCTACACAGTAGTTGTTTGTTAAAGTGTAAGAATGTGTCATTTGTTTTCATTTTAGACAACACACTACGTCTAAAACTTTAGATAGCAACAGAAAAGAGTTGAACATGTATAAAAAGAACACTTTCACGCCGCAAAGTCATTTTTTATTTTGTTGACAAGCAGAAATGATGGCCCTTATTTTTCTCTGGCAGACAGAGGCTGCACTGAGCATGTGCTGAGTACGTGTCATCACTCTAGTCTGTTTGTGACTGAGTACATTTATTGTGTTACAACTGCCTCTGGTCTCCTCTACGAGCACAGAAACACAGCTTTTTCCGAGTTTAAAAATCCAGACAAGCAAGCAGCCCTTGCTAGAGAGCATCATCTCATCCCACCGAAAATCCATACACAAAGCCCTAAAACCAAAATTTAAACACAACACCCACCACAAAATGGATCGCATCTTCCAATGATTTACGTGATCTTGAACCGCTGAACCCATTAGCAAATATTTGAACAGCTCTTTCTCTGTAGTCCAGAATTACAGAATGCTTTTGCTGGGGTGGGATGGGGGGATGAATTTGCCGAACAAACACTTCAGCGTGACTTCCTCTGGCCACAGTTACATTAGCGATTAACCTCTATGTGAACCTGCTCTTTATGCTGCCGCTTAGGTCTGTGTGCGAAATCAGAGAAATCGCAGTCTTCTAATAGGAAAACGAAGTAAGAATCGGAGTATTCCAAGCCAAAAAGTGCTCAAGAAGTCACCCTGAGGGAAAACACACAAACCAAAAAAAGCGTCCCTATGGAATAATGCCCTCGCTATAAAAACTGCGAGCGTAAAAGTTTGAGTGCTGCACTAATGCTGTAAATTGCTGGCACTGACTCATATTGTGAAGCAGCCTCTCAGAGCTACACAACTGTGGCCAAACACTAAGTATGTTGTGTAAGACGTCCAAATGCAGAATGAGATGGATTGGCTTATTGAGTGGAGAGCCCACCTGGATGTACTTGTGAATGTGCCAGGAAGCTTGTTTGCCGTCGTTGACAGACTCCACGGTGGTGTTGGCAAAGCCTGCGATGTCTCCGCCGGCGAACACCCAGGGTTCAGTGGTCTGCATGGTTTCGCTGTTCACCTCAGGAGTCCCCCATCGGTTCAGCTTTATTGGATCCAGGGCCTTCGTCACTGTTCCAGCACACAATGTGGAGAAGAGCAATGTGGAGTTAGAGCGACAGCACGCACCGTATAAACTGTTTTTAAAGAAGTACTTACTTTTATTTAGTATTTAGCAAGGGATAGAGATAGTTCACTCAAAAAAGTCTAACTTGTTCAAAGAAGATATACCTGTACTGAATAATGTTGAAAACCTTTAACCACTGACTTGCATATATTTGCTATTTATACTATGGATGCCACTGATTATAGGTTTCAAACTGTGAGTTCACACCGAAGGTGGCGAGAACGTCAAAGTTCGCTCTGGACTTCCCTGGCGACAAACGCTGTCTGCCTTTACTGCTCTGCCGGTGAGACTGAGAGCGTCAAAATTCACTAAACTGATCTTGTATTTAAAGGGGTCGTTGAAGCAAATCACTTACATTCCCGCATAAAGTGTGGATAGTTTGAAAATGTTGATCAAATTCATTAAACTATGGAAGATTAAGTTGTTTCATGTGGTGTGGCTTTGCTCCACTTATTCAATATGGGTTCATGTCTGAAATATTCTGAAAAAGCAATACTGGTTTGTATTGATACTACAGTTAGCATGAGAATCCTGCTTTAAAAAAATACATAAATATAATCTAATGGTCTTTGTTTTACCCATAAACACATCATAAATAAATAAAGATAAGCTGCACACAAATTACCACCTGTAGATTGCTTTATCCGTGGAAGGTTGGTCGGTAAAAAAGGTGCACAACCAACACTATCTGAGGTTTTCACTAAAGTTATAAAGTAGTGTGAAAGTGAAAGACTGAAACAGTAAACTGATGCTGTGACATGTTAACTGATAGATTCAAAAGACCGAAGAGTGGTTAGATAAAGACAAAATTATTGAAATATCACATTTAACAACTATATGAAACGTGATCCAACAGTATATCCTTGATAAACTGTCCGACGTGCACTGCTCTTTAGGAGCTGTGTGTGTGTGGGGCTGTGTGTGTGTGTGTATCTGTGTGTGTGTGTGGTCACGTAATGTGAATTTTCAGGGGATGGAGAGCTGTTCTGAAATGCTAGGTAAAACACGGTGTGGATGTGGATAATTTTCATTCTAAAATGGCATTTTAATACTAAGAGGTATTAGTGTAAACAGGGCCTAAGTGTGTATTTTTCAACGCTGTTTTGCGACAGGGGCGGGGCGGGGGATCGACGATGCTGGCTCAGCATCATGTTGTCTATTGGTCATCGGTGATGGACGATGGCATCGTTATCAACCCAGGCTCATTCTGAAAATGTACCCCTATATACATTTCTGTGGAGCGGCAAATACATCCCAGGAGCTACATTTTTTTGCAGTTTTTGTTTTCGTGAATCCACCAGAGGCCGCAGTTTACACTTTTTGAGACTTCAAATTTCTCTCGTGAGTGCCATTAGTGTTTTCCCCAACCAATAGTGTTTTCAAAAGCACCCACTTCCCTAAACTCAACCGACATTGATTTCAAAAACAATTCAGAAAAATAAAAGCTCTTGCCTGATTTTGATCACATTTTCAGATTTTACCACATTCTCACCATGTTATTTTTAAGTTTATTTTATTTTTTGGCTTCTGTTTTTGTCTTGCATGGTTTCTGGAACCGTTCTTTTTCAGACTCGAACCCCGTCATCCTGGTCAACTACTCTCTGCGTCCGACGTACATTGCGAGCTATTGGACAAACGTAACAGCAGGTAAGCAGTCCATACGGAGGTAAGCGGTCAACTGGTAAATGCAAAAAGTAAACGACGTCATTCCACCCCGTAGCTTTTTTTTTTAAGACAAAATGCAGCCATACTTTCAAAATCTTGGCCCATGTTTAACATAATAACTTTGTTCTTTTAAGTAATGCAGTACTTTACTCGTTACTCGTAACCCATATTAATTGTAATGCATTACCCCCAACGCTGATGGTAAATATATAGGTAAAATTTTGTCTCTTGAAGAACAGTGGCCAAGTATAAAGATTTATATCATGTATTGATATATACTTTTCAAATACACTTAATGACATTTTGACTTTTGTAAATCACAATGAAAGTTTAAAAAAGGATAGCCAAACAGTGTGACACTATTTAGTAATTGTTCAAATATTTTAACTGTACAGTACAGAGTGTGTAAACAGTATACTGTAGCAGTGCCATATGATGAATGACACTATAGATCAGTTTTACTGTTCAATGCGACCAAAAGTAGACCACATTTTGTCAAGGTAGTTTTTTGAGAAACTGCACAATTTAATATCAGCTTTAGACTGAAGCAAATAGACACTTGTAAATAGATGCATTTATTTCATTTATTCACCAACTGTTTAACAGTAGGACTGCAATGAATTACACAAAAGAATGCCTTTAAAATTCAAGCACATGATGGCACTTAAATAAAACACTGCATTCATTACTTTCCCACCTAAATACAACATATTTTTCCATTGACCATTTTAACACATCCAAGGTCTTCTGAATGCTTGTATGTAGTTATTTTTCTTCATGGTCATGCAGGGGTCCTGGCAGATAACCACATGTGCTGTTCATATTCACTTTCCTTTAAGATACTTCCAACAACCAGATACTTTTACAACAAAATGAACCTCATTTTTTTAAATGTTTGGCAAAAAACTGACTTGTCTTTCAAATGTGTGTCTTTTCTTTTGATATTTTGTTATCTAATGCAATGGCATTCTTACAGTTTTCTTACAGTTCTATTGTTGACAGTGTACAGTATTTTGTATCAAGACTGTACTGACATGCTGTATTGTGCATTGGTTTGGATGGAACATGTTGAATGGATCATTCATAGCCTTGAGCAGTCATTCGCTATTCACTAGTCAGGTGCAGGTATGGTACAGAGCACAGCATTTAGGTCCCCAAGGTAAAAATCCTATTCATCTTCACCATGGAGGTGGTGGTTTTTAACAATATAGCATTTAAAGAAAGATTATGACTTAATCTTATTTTTAACAGGTGAATTCTTGGCAAACTGCTTTCCTTGTGATTCTGCTAAAAATGATTGATTCTTCAACAACTGTAATTATTTAATTGTGGCAGTCTCTCAATACTCTGAAAATGTGCTAATATTATATGCATGAGTTGCTGTAAACATTTTCAAAAGTTTTTAGAAATATAAAAAAAAAAAACTAAATACAATTTATATTAACAAATTGCAAATAGCATATGCATTTAGCCAAAAATACTTTAAATCTATTTAGACAAATAAATTAACAAACAAACAAATAAATAAATAAATAAATAGGATACATGGGGCTCTCTACTCTTGTATACATTGTTGAAAAGTGTTGGCACCATACTGTAGCTTGTGGTAAAATTCTGTTTCCCCTTCAGTCAGTCACTCTGAGTTATGTTGAAATGCCAAATTGTTCCACAATTTAGCACAGTGGTGCCTGGAAGGTTCCTGCAGTGTTTCCAACTCTGATCAGACACAACTAAACCAACTAAGTAGGATCCGAATAAGCATTTGGCTATTAAATACAGGTGTGTTTGATCAGGGGTAGAGATACTGTAAACACTGCACCCCGGCTTTAGCACATCATAAAGTATGAATGGGGGAAAACTATATTATATTTGTATTTTTGGGGATGTTTTCATCCACTCTGGGGTGAATTTGAGTCTTAATTTGGCCATAATTTCTCTGTGTTTCAGCTTGCATAATGAGTTTATGTGACAAATCTTATTTTGACAAATATTTTGAGAAAATACTTTGAAAAAAAAAAGAAAACTACTAAACTGCTTAGAAAAGTACAATATTTTAACTCTAGCTAAATGTTATAAATGATGTCACTGATTTGGTGTAAAAAAACACTGAAGATTACGTATTTATAATATAAAAAGCATTCATTTTTTACCTTTTATCAAAGTCTTGGAAATATTAAACAACATTGCCTTTAATGCATTGTTTTTAAGTGAAGTTTATTCATAAACTAATTTTGAGAGGATCACGTGCTTATGATTTATCACGGCCGGTCTCAAATTTGCTAATCAGTATCTTCCAATCATTCGAGCCCTAAGCTACTATAAATAACCACAGTTTTCAGTTCACTTTATCTTCGTTTGGAAGAAACCCCCCTCCTCCCCTTTTCTTCTCCTTTACCTCTGACTGGGCGACATGGCGGCCTAGTGGTTAGCACTGCGAGCCCCACAGCAAGAACACCGCCGGCCCTGGTCTCTCAGGACCGGTGGATGTTTCTGTGAGGAGTTTGTATGTTCTCCCCGTGTCCGCGTCGGTTTTCACCGGGTTCTCCGGTTTCCTCCCACCATCCAAAGACATTCAACATACATAACAATCAAACATTTATCTAACCCTCGTGTTCCCTTAGCTACCGCAGCGGGGGAGTTCTGATATCCACCGAGCTCAGGCTCCCCTCTCGCTCTGCCAAACGGGAGGAAGCCCCGGACTCGAGGAGTCCTTGAGCTAGGGGCTCTCTCCCGGGACAGCATGCCAAACAAGCTTTTATAAATCATCAGCTAAGTGTGAACTGTTGAAATTATGTTGGTGGCTGTTTTTACCCCATTTGCTTCCATTATAACCACATTTTGATTACAAAACCGTGAGCCCATATAATCATGCAATTTTTATTGATAGCAAGTTTTCCTGAATGGAAGAGAAAAAATTTGTCATTTTTACTGTTGATCATCAGTTGGTACCATTAACGCTTTAGATAGGCCTGTGCAAGAAAGCTTAGTTTCTGGATTTTTAATGGAGTATAATTGCAAATTAAAGTGTTTCTATGTGTATGTTTGTGTGTGAGAGTAACCTTTGCGCACTTACCTAGATGTGTATGAGAAAATCAAAATATGCATCTCAGTTCTCAGAACTACATGGAGTAAACAAAAACAAAGACTGTGTTTATACACCACCACATGTAGTTATAATGGAAGTCAATAGAGCAAAAACAGCAACCAAAATGAGGGGGAAAAAAAATGAAAATCCAACAACGCATCAAAGCCAATGTTGTAACTAATCATTTACACGTGC